CAATCAGAGAGCGCCGCAGACAAGATCTCTGCGGCCTTCACAATAGCTAGGCAGCCTAGGTGGCTTAGAAAAGCTCTCGAAACCTGCAGCAGCAGGGCGAGTACACAAATCAAGAGGTGAAAACAGCTTAGATCTCACCTGTGCTGCCCCCCTCCCCTGCAAACAAGCGCCTCTTTGACATAACACAGGCCGCCTTGCTCGGGAATTGTTCCTCCCCTGAAGACGGGAATTAACCTTTCAGCTTGCCTTTTCTTCCAGCCACCTCTCTGCCCTGCTATCCTCCTGCCCTGGTGTCTCTGCCCTGCTTTCAGAGCTCTGCACGAGAACCCCCTCTCCCCCCCCCTGCCCCGAGCGGCAGGGAGGGGGGAGGGCGGCCTGCTCCGGGGCTGGATCCGTCTCCCGCGGGAGGAAAGCGGAGAGCCCTGCTGTCTGGTATAATTGAAGCCAAAGCGGAGCCTTCCGGGGGAAGAAGAACAAGGCCTCAGCGGCCGGTGGCAGAGAGCGGCAGTAGACGGCCCTAATAGCCCTCTCCCCGCTCGAAAGCTTACGATTCCCTGCCTGCGATTGCCATTAAAATGTCTTTTGCCCCGGAGGGGACAGGAGGGAGGAGGAACGTACCGCGGGGAGATGACTAAAGAGCAGGTTCTTCCCCTCCCCGTCTACGCACAGCCCTGCTTTGCTGGGGGAGCATTTTCTTGCTCATTCATCTGTAGGATAAAAAGCCTCTTTCTGCACCTTTCCTCTGAAACAATATGGGGGGTCTCGTTTTCCCCAGCAGCAGCCCGAGCGCTTGCTTCCTTTGGCAGCACTATCCAAGAAAGGACACGGTTTGCCGGGTGTTTTTCCTCCTGCAAGACATTTTGTTCTTCGTGACAGCATCCCTGGCGCGGCTCGGAGAAACCCAGCAGGAACAGCTGGCTTTTGCTCACCGGCATGGGCTGCAAGCTCCCCCTCTTCGTGCCCGAAGCTCGGGCCAGGCGCTCCTGCTTCGTAAGCAGGATCGCCTGCGAAACCCGCGCCAGGGAGGACTGACGTTCCCGCGTGCCGTGCGCCCTGCGGCGCCGCGTCCTGCGGCAGCTT